CAAAACAATGTCCTTAACTTGGGTAATGCTACTTGTCCAAATGATAAAGCAATCTATAGATGCCACATAGGCGCCAGAACTCCTTAGAGAGTGATTTCATACCAGATCCTACTTTGCTATTTGGCTCACGGGGCTTTGTTCTCTTTGCTAAACGTTCTTCATTCTGTGTCACATACGTTTTCATTCCTTCTTGGCTTCCCAAAGCTGTTATCACACCACATGTCACATGTTCTCCTTACTCCTGCTTTGGTAACAACTCACACATACATCACGCCTTACAGTCTGTCCTCACATCCTGCTGGTCAGTAATATCGCCAGACACATAGACAAACAAATCTATGGCTCTAGATTTTTAAACATACAGAAGCACATTGGATGTTGTCATTCTTCCAGTCAACAGTTAGTCAGTGAATCCAAAAACCACGTGTATCAGAGAAGGACCAGAGCCTAGGGAAGATGGGAAAGAGCTGCTGTGGGGGACTGGCCTTACTGCTACAAAGCCATGTGTTTGGTAGTATATGACAATGTAAAAACTTGCTCACAAAACTGGAAGAAAACAGAGGAACAGGTGTGAGAGTCTCATTACCTATTTACTGCCATAGGTCAACCAATACTGTCTGAAATTGAAATGTGTGTGCCGTAAGCCAAAAACTACCCCAGACTCTTAAGTTTTTATAATTGTAAAATATACACGGAGTGAATTGAAAGCTATAGCATCTCTTTTTAGAAGGGAAGCAGTTTAATTTTAAGAATCTCCTCTTACATTTCATGTTCTCTTCTACTAAATTCACACTAAAATCAAATGAACATTTTATTTAAATATAACACAACATAAAGCCCTGCTTTAGGAAAGACATCCCTGCCTATTATCTACCCATTCTGAGACGGTAGCCCTAACACAAATAGGTTATTTTCCTGCAATAAAATATTTGATAATTTTTATTCTTTTCTGTTGATTTGTTTAAATTTTTAGATAATTATTCATACAGCAAAGTCAATTCTCAATGAACATAAAATGCACATTGGCATTTGTTAAACCACCTCCCATATTACTAGTGATTGTTAATAAGATTTCCCTTTTAAGATTGTTTTACAATCCACATTTTCTTCTATTTCTTCCTCTTATGTTCATAATAACCTGATGTGCTGTGCAGACACTGGTTCTCATTTCACAGCTGAGATTAGAGGGGGTCTTAGGCTGAATTATGGTTCATGGGCCAGGCACTTAGGTCCTCACTATCCTAATCCAGGGCTTCCTGACAAGCTAACCTTGGCTTTCATGCCATGATTGTGTTAAGGAAACTGTAGCATGTGATGCAAAAGCTCTTCCTGCCCATTACTCCGTCAATACCACTGTTGGGGACAAACGCAAGCTTAGCTGCAGAGGAAAACAAATCAGCCAAAGATAAATGATTCTATGAGGGAAAACAGGTAGGACACTGGGCTAAAGACTGCATCAAAGGAGAAAGGGAAATCAGGCAATGTGGCTTTCAGAAACCCAAACTCTCATTTCTGTATCTAGGTTTCCCCAATTCCTGATTTTTAAAAGAATCTGGGAACTTTTCAGTGGAACCTGGTCATTATCTAGTTTGGGACAATTATCCTTAGTGAAGCAAACAGGAAATGACTTGTCCGGAGAAGCATCTTTTTCTTTTCCCTCAGCTGTCTATGGACAATCCAATTAAAGAGAAGAGCCCTATTGCACAAGTTAGATTTGGATAAGGCCAGGAAACTGTATTCTTTAGAATGGATGAAAGTTTCCCATCATATAAACATATAACAATGTCCTTGTATCACTTGGGTTAACATAATACCTAAAATAAATTGCCACACTGCCGTCTTTCTATAATCGGCAAGTGACGTGGTGCACACTATACACGAGTACAAAGTCAGAGTTTGCCCTCTATCTTTATGCAATGTGAAACCCTCAGACTTCCATACCCAGACTTTATTTTGTTGCTATGCGACTTACATGCAACACAGTACACATAAATAAATTATGAATTTTACAGAGAAGGGAAAAACTCTTCCCTTCTTCTTTGAGAACAAGCCACAACTTCCTTTCATGCTATCCTAATGGACCGCAGCCCTTTCAAGCTGTTTCCCAAACATCAAGGTTTGGGCCAGATAAACAATCAAATGAATAACACAGCTAGGATACAGATGTGGCGTGCAAACGGCACGCTAGGAGCATCGGGCCCACTGGATTCACCCTTACAGGCCTGAGAGCTGGGTGCCCAAACCCAGTCGTCAGAAGGAAGTTTATTTCACACCCACACTCTTCCAGGTAGCAGAATATAAGCAAGCTTAAGCAAAGGAAATTCTGGAGATTTTTGTTGGCAGCCATCCCAAACGATAGAGGCCCCAGGCATAAGTCTGTAGCAGGGTGGGAGAACTCTTCCAGCCATGAGAGAAACAAACAACTGTGAGGACAAGATGTTACAGAGAGTGGGAACTGAGGGCTCTTGAACCAGATGTCAGCCGTATCTCCATGGAAGATGACTTTCTCCATGTTCAAACTGGATAGCTTTTTCTGGAGAAGGCATAAAATCATACTGCGTTTGCATTCATGAGAAGGAGACGCTACTTCCAGAACAAAGCACAGCATGGGAACACCCCGGACATACAGCAATGGGAGAAGAGATCAGTATCCTATGGCAAGGCTCCACAGTGGATCACAACCTGCTGCAGACCAATAAAGAAAACCAACTACTCATAGATCCAACAGTAATGCCTTCCACATGTAATGTACAGAACACCCCAAATACCCAAGCACATACCATAAGGTTTGTATCGTATACAGTTCAGCAGCAGTCAACAGTGATCAGTGGCCCTGGACACCAGGAATGCTTACTTCAGGAGAGGCTACTGTGAGAAGCGATGGGAATTTTCTACATCATGATCTACAGGGAACCTACAGTTGTATGAAATGTACCCACACACACTTCTGCTCCTAGCAACCTTAGACGCTCTGAATAGGCATCTTATGCCTCAGTAAGAAATAAAAGAGTAAGAATCGATTGTCAAAGAGTGCCTAGTATTTCTAGGTGGCACGTGGTCTCTCCCTACAGTTCACACCTAACAACTGGCTCATTGTGCTGGCTGGATGAGACACTGTTACAGATGTCTTACAATCTGTTTTAACAATCTTGTAAATAGTTCGGATACAGGCTGTGGTTTAAGGGACACTGCCCTACTGCACTGAACCCCAGGTAGCACAACAGAAAAGTACACAGCCTCTTGGAGCAATTTTCTTTTTTTCTGTTTTTTTTTTTGTGTGTGTGTGTGTGTGTTTTGTTTTTTGTTTTGTAGGTTTTTTTTTTGTTTTGTTTTTTTTTTTTTTTTTTTTTTTTTTGTTTTTCGAGACAGGGTTTCTCTGTGGTTTTGGAGCCTGTCCTGGAACTAGCTCTTGTAGACCAGGCTGGTCTCGAACTCACAGAGATCCGCCTGCCTCTGCCTCCCAAGTGCTGGGATTAAAGGCGTGCGCCACCACCGCCCGGCTTGGAGCTCTTTTCTTTATTGCTTTCTCCAAAAAGATTTTTCAAAGACTCAGAGAAGAGATGAATATTAAACAGTATACGTATGTGCATGTCAAAACCTCCAAAGTATATCATGATCGTGTATGACATTTGTGTTTTGTGTACTAAATATTAAACTTAAATTAAAAAAAAAGAAATCAGAAACAGAAAAGACAATCACAAAGTTCAATGGCAGAACTCCCGGAATGTAATGTGTAATCAAACCTCTCCATTCCTGCCTCAATCATTCCTGTACCCTTATTTGTTTCCAACGGATCCAAACAACTGTATCTTTGTGGTTATAGAAAATTTACCCAGCCTGGGGTTTGGGGACATAGTCTATCTCTGAAGACATGAAGAGAAATCTACATAGCGTAGTTCTGAGCTTACAAAAAGTTACAGGAAATTCACACATCTACATCCATTCTTGTTGTAACTTGAATAAATTTTTCTTCTAGAACTTCACTTCCTGAACTACTATCAGCATTTTTGGATGGTGTCCCCAGCAATGCAGCCACAATGCATATTATACACTAACAGCAAAAAAAAAAATATTTGCTAATCAGTCGGGAATACTTCTTCACTGACTAACTAGAAAGGACAGCATGGTACAATATGAAGATAACGTTTCCTCCACATCTGGAGAAAAGGTGAAAGCTAATTCTTCCCATTTTTATCAGAATAAGTGATTTCTTGTTTTAATCAAACATAGACATAATTTCAAAAGGAAAACCTGTGTCCACACTGCTATCATTTAGCAGTGACCTGGGATTCAGAAGTCGAATGGAGAAAAATCACAAGACAATAAGCAAAATCCTAAAGTAAAATCACAGTCATCTTTTCAGACGGCAAGTCTCTTTCTCAGTGACTTCATTCAACACTCCATGACGTTTGAACAGAATTACTGCAGAAGCCAAGTGTGCCTCCTGTTGCAGAAATCTCTCTTTGGGACTAAAACTAACAGCCCTGTGTCATTACCTTCACAGTGTCCAGAAGGGTTTCCATGTGCAGGGTTTGATGCTACTTGGTTGTTGTATTTAAAACACTAACAATTTTCCCTTCAAAAACTGTGTCTTTTAAGTGACATACAATGACACAAGCGGAGTGTATACTGAGTCAAGTTGTGCCACGCTGTGCAAGTCCTGGGGCATGGGTCTAAGAAGGGCAAGGTGCAAGTGAGAACCATAGGCATTTCATAGGGTCTTCAGTTGGCATGGTAGAGTGTCTCCACTGCCCCATGTCCAAGGAAGAATGGCATTAAACAGAAAAAGCCAAGAAGGCAACATTGACAATTATGGAAATTATTGTGGTAAAAGGAAATGGCTTTTGGGGGGCATCCCTCTGAGCAAAAGTTCCCTATCTTTATTCACCATGAACCCCACAAAATACATACTTGACCCTGAATGTGGTTATAAGTGAGGAGGATTGAAAAAGATTCAGGGGGGCTAGGAAATCAATGCCTCAAAAAAGGGAATGAGTATACAGAGTTCAAAAATGAAAATTATTTCATGATGGCCCAAGTAGACAAGACATATCCTTTTCAAACGGGGTGACTGCCACACAGCATTCAGATATATTCAGGTACTCAATACATGGCTAGAAATACACCTTCAGAGACCTAGGTGCTAAAAGTCAAAAAGTCTCTAGAAAAATCACAAATTACCACCATTCATTTCAATTCTACCTAGTGCTGTTTTCTCAACACGGCAGATCCAAGCGTCATGTTTCTTTGGGCATTTCCAGCATTTCACAGCCCAGCGCATACTGTAAAAAGCACTGTCTTAAGGAAATCTAAACATAAGACAGGTTAATAAACAGGGAGGTCATTATCTTTTCCTTCAGCCCACTACCTCCAATTTTACCAGAGGATATCTTTTGTTTCCCAGCACTTAAGCCTGCCAGGGGATGACGTTGTCTAAACACATTTTCAATGTTTTCTTTTTAACAGTTAATATATTTCCAGGATGCAAGTCCATTTCTTTCTAAAAGGTTCCTAGGACACCCATTGAAAAGTCAAAAGCAATGAACGAAAAGGGATCGCTGTTTTGTTGGAGAAGAACGACACCCTTTGTATTGAAGTGGAGAGTTACAGTCTGTGGTCACCCTCTGCACAGTGTCTCTTTGTCAAGTAATACATGCTGGAAAAAAAATAATACAGATGGGAAAATATTGTGCACTGTCAGATCTTGGAAACGGCCAAAGGATTTTTCCTCACCAATGTCTTGTCGATGACTTTCACATTCTGGCACCCTGAAAAAAATAATGCATACATTTAATATGAAATGAATGCAATAATAATCAGGCAGGTAATCGTTTTTCCCAAGGAATGTAAAACTTGACAAATGTAAGGTTTATGATTCAAGGTAGGCTTGCCAAATCTTATGTGGCATGAGACCATTTTTATTACCTAAACAGTCCTTAATACAAAATGACTGGCACATATTTTTATTAGCACAAAGACTGTATTCTTTCTGCCACATTTAATAGACAGCCAGCGTCTGAAAGCTCTCGTTTAGGATATGTCTGCAGCAAATTAAAATGTGTAGTGAGGATTCACAGAATGACATTCTTCTCCTGAAGGTTCCGGCAACCTCGGGTTGCATGGTAGCAGGGAGAAAATCTCGGGAGTTGTAGCTAGCAAGGTTATTTGGACCCTGTGGCTCACAGAAAATGAACCTCACTTCAGTGTCAAATGGGGAAGCTGCTAACTCACTAGAAGCTTTTCTTCCTCATCAGCTAAAGGTCCATTTTGAGTCAAACTCTAAGCAATCCACAGTAAACGCAGCACTTACTAATTCTTTTCACAAACATTTATTGTTTGTGTGCCAGGCACTACTCTAAACACTGCAAACCCAGCAGAGATAAAAGATGGAAAGATCCCCAGTCACACGTTTTGTATTCTAGAGGGGAAACATAAAATACATAATATGTGTTGTTTAAAAAATTAAGTTGTGTGACAGATGACTTATGAACAGTGAGAGATTCTAAGGAAAAAGAATGCAAGAACAGGGAAGAAAGCTGGAACTCAGAGATAGGTAAGCAGTCAAGGTGGTCCCTTTGTGAATAAAAATGTACATGAAAGATTAAAGGATGGAAGAACTCTTCATGCACACATCTGGGGAGCATCAAGGGAGAGGGAAGATCCAGCACAGAGTCCACGAGGCTGGAACTTGTCTAATAATCAAGGAACCTTTAAGAGGCAAATGAAGCTTTGGTGCAGTAACAGAGACAGCATGAGTAAAAGCTGCTCCTGGAAGGATAACAAGGCCCTTGAAAACTATTGTAAGGACTTTGACATCTATGCTGAGTTAAGTCCAGAGTCATTGGAGGGTTCTGATCCAAGAGGAACATGAGTTAAATTAATGTTTTAAATGACTACCCTGGTTTCTGTGATCAAAGGAGAACAGGAGAAGGCAGGGAGACAAGGTTAGAGAAGCAGACCCAATATCCACTGCAAAAGTAATGGGACAGCCACTTGGGGGCAGTGGGTGTGATGAAGGGGGTCAGATTCAAATTACACTGTAATGAGCAACTCTTATGAATACCACGATGTGAAAGAAGAGGCAAATGTTGAGAGTTCAAGCCAGAGCAAATGAAACTTTGGCATGAGGGCAAACTGGGAGTGAGGGGCTGCAGGTGGCACAGGTCTAACAGAGAGTTAGGGATGTGGTTTTAAACAGGTAGAGTTTGACCTGGTGCTTGGTCAAGAGGTAGAACTGACTGGCCAGTTGGATCTATGCAGTCATGTATCAAGAAGTGAGCAAAAGAATGATGTTCTTCCTATAATTAGAGGCCTCTTGCTCACAAAGACATCACTGATGGGTTTGTCAAAGCTGAAGGCTAAGTAACTAGGCTCACTGTAAATCCACCAGTCCAGGAGTGCTGGGCCTCGGAGCCATAAATATAAAGTTGAGTTCCCCTGATATGTTTTGTTTTCCAAGGAGCCTGGCTTAAATCCCACAGAAAACACAACAGCAGTAAATGAGGATAAAAACCTGCTGTCATATTTTCCCAGGAGAGGAGCCATGCTGGACACTGTGGAGCCTTTCAGAGGTGGGTGGGAACAAGATGGTGGAAGTAGTCACTAAGGCAAAGCCCCTCAAGGTTAAAACTTAGCCCCTAGTTCAGTCTCTGCCATGAGCCCACAATACTTTCCCCATGGTGATGGGCTGAAAGTCTCTGAGACCACGAGCTCAAATAATTGTTTTCTTCAATTAAGTTTTGTCTGTCAGTGGTTGTGTTGTGGTGACATAACATCATGGAGTGCTGAGACTTACCACTGAGACCCATGGCCAGCCGGAATTCTTCCTTCAGGATCTCAAGGACATCCTGAACACCTTTTTCTCCCTATGTAAGTATAAGATATTAAAGTATTGAGTAAGCTAGTTCAGTTCTATTTCACTATTAAAGGATTTTATTGTATTTGCTTGTTTCCTCCTCCAATTACCTGGAAAGCCAAGCCCCATATGATGGGTCTCCCCACAAACACAGCCTTGGCTCCCAGGGCCAGAGCTTTGAGAACATCAGTGCCCTTCCTTACACCTCCGTCCAGGAAGACTTCCACCTTCCCATCCACAGCCTCGACGATTTCTGGCAGGGCATCAATCTAGTGGGAGAAGGAAGACAATGTGATGTTGTTTGTGTGGAAAAAAAAAAGTATCTGCTCAATTTCACCTCCATCCAACTCAGGCTCAGAGAGAAAAGAGGTTAAGGTCAATGATGGAATCATTTCTCCAAGAAGAAAACAATGCAATGCTAGGAACTGGGAACTCATGTGAATTCAGAATTGAGCAGCCTCTATGTCTTCAAAGTCTGGCATTCATTTTTCTATTCCTGATATTTATATGCAAATATTATGTCTAAAAATAATAAACATAATTCTGAATCACTCAATCTTCCATAGCTCCTTCTTTTAAAAGAGTATGTGAAGTGTCTTACTGGTATACAGTATTCTTGGCATTATTTACCAGAGTTTGATGGTTAAAACACTTGGTAGGTGTTGAAAGCAGTAGTGTATAACGTGTGCAAGCGTGACCCCTCTCTGAGTTCCTCTTCTAACAAACTTTATATCCAGATAAGCGTTAGGCAATGATGAAAGCAGTTTACCCACAGTTACAGGAAAAATGACCATGTGACCCTAGAAGAGCCCTGTCTAAATTGGCCATTGTCAGTGGGCTAAGATACCATAGAGAACACAGGAACCTCTCAAAGGTGAGGTGGTGGCTTACAGTATTGTTCAGTAACCCCCATACTTCTCTGAATGCATTTCCTTTCTAAGACATCTATATAGTTTCCCCCATTCAAATAGAGCATATTAACATCCGCCTTGATGCTGACTTTAGTTCTATGACCCACTTTGGTAGTCACATGTGAGCAGAGGAGGTTGAGGGCCATCTGTGGGCACCAGCCTGAATAGCTATGTCAACTATTTCCCCTTAGGTTTGCCTTTCTGTCATTTGTCATGAGATAGGGATCCCCAGTCTTGTTCCCACAGAGTTTGGACCCCAGGGAGACTATTTAAGAGGCAGAGATGTCTAAACCTCGCCTAGCTGAACCTGAAACTTATAACCCAGCCAGCAAAGCTAGTTCCAAGCCTGAACCAGAAGATCCTAGTAGCAGGATGTTTTAAGGGAACAACTGTCAGTTTAAATAACTGGCTCCCCTCTCCCTGCCCCCAAAGTCACAGTAGTATGCAATACAACTAGCTCATTAGATATAGGTGAAAATATGGAAATATTTCACCTTTGCCCTACAGCGTTTCGGTCTGAAATGAAGTTCTGAGTCCACTCCTGTAGGCTGTGAAAGCCGCCACACATTTAAGCTGCTCTTTTTCCAGAAATAATTGTGCTGAAATCACTCAAAGGCTTTCCTACTTCTCTCCTCGAAGTTTAGTGGCTGAACTTAAATAGAGTTTTATGTAAAAGGCTGAAAACCAAACATAGCTACAATTTGGAGGAAGTGGAGGCAATCCTTGGCCAGTGGTCCCTAAATGTTTGGCAGGTAGCGCAATTTTCCCCTTTCCCTTCTGGCTTCCATCCCTTGCCAAACATGCTTCGGATCCATTTACATACGTTCGCTTACCTATACATAGTCCCCTTTTACATTCAGGCGAGTTACATCAACATATAAATGCTACAATTTCCAAGCCATGATGCAAGCCATAATTAAGCATATTTCCCCATTTGAAACCAGAACCAAAGAAAAATATTAGCTAGCTTGGGTTCAATACACATTTTCAAAGTCACACAAATCAAGTCTGTTTAGGTTATTTCCAGTGCCTAACTTGGCCTAAAAGTACCCTAATAAGGACACTTAAGATATGAATCCTGGAATATAGAACAGAGGCCGCACTTGTGCCTCGGTGACTGTGGACAGGTAGGTCCCATCCAGCACTGAGCGATTCTAACTTTCCTCTCTTCCCAGAGCTGCACTTTCACTAGGCACACACCACATAAAGCAGAGTGATCTGGGAAGAATGGATAAAATAGAGCAGACAAGCCCAATAGGTACGGCCCTATTTAGGCCTCCAATTTTCCTTTCCTACGCATCAGTATTGCATCCATCGTTACTCTCTTGAAGAAGGACACTCAAATGTTCCAACCAAAGAAGCTGGACGTTAACAAGGTGCTGCAGCTAAAGCAGAGGTAACTTCTTCAGTTTTCAGAATCTCTCTTAGATCACAACTCACACCCCTCCAGGGCTGCTACCCAGTGCAATCAGAAAACCACCCTCCAGAGATTCAGCAAGCCTCCAAATGGCTCCAATAATTGTTCCACCCACTCTTCGATTCGTAGTGGGATTATGCTTCCTGGGGCATCCTTAGGGAAGGGGGCGATGGGGTAGGGATCTGAATGGTGGCTAGCATTCACCAATGGAACAGGAGAGATTCTAAGAAGGCATTACCTCTGAGCTTAGATCGTAAGACCTGGCATGACCCTTTAAGAAATTTGCCCCTACATGAAAACAAACCAACCTGACCCACTGGGAGATGTAAGATGGTGAGATTATCCTCTACCAGGCTGGTCTGCTGCACAAGCAGCTGACCCCATACCATTGGGACTAAGCCCAGCCAAGCCCAGATCCCACCATCTCACAGTTCTCAACTCAAAGTGTCAACTGAATAAAACTGGGACATAAATAATGTTTCAGCCAGAAAGTTCAGTTTTGTTTGTTATGCCACAAAAGCCAGTTCATGTGCCAAGTACCTCTTAAGGATGAGACATGCCTTTACAATTCATCTTGTGTTTCCGTCATACCGGTGCTAGAGTTTGAACTTAGGGTCTCCTCTATGCTAGGCAAGAACTCTACCACTGAGCGCCCCTCTAGCTCCAAGCACTCCCCTTAAAAAAAACAACACTTCTTAGATGGTACAGAACATGCCTAAGGACTCAATTTGAGAGTCAGCAACTTAATGGCTCAAATGCTTATTTACTGAAAGGGTTTGGCAGGTGAGAAACTGACTGTGGAAAGAACATTATATCTGGTCTTCCTGCTTCCTCTCCCGGTATACACACGGGGCTTTGCCTCTCTCCTCCTCTCTCTCCCTCCTCTCTCTCTCTCCCCCCCCCCCCTTTCTCTTTCCCTCTTTCTTAATAAATGCTTATGGCTTCCTTAAAAAAAAAAGAACATTATATCTGTAAGTCGGAAGTTGTTGGGGTTTAGTTGACATCAAAATGCAATGCAAATCTGAAAAAAAATTATAAAAGAGAATGTTCGAAGGACTCACACAGGCCAGAGAACAGAGTGTGAAGATAAACTGAAGTTAAATTCCTGGTCCAGAAATTCAAGGGGCCAATATTTCTCTATACAAGGGAATGCTGGGAAGTAGAAAAATATAGAACTGTACAATCCAGACAAATTCTTTAGAGAACCAACATAATACCAGAAGAAGTTTGGGCATAAGAGTTTGAGAGACTGGCCCTTCTGTCTCTCACACATTACAGAAGGCAAGAAAATAAGAAATAACTCAAACTCAAGCCTTCAGTTTCAAAACTCCTCACATGATGTCATCCTGGGTGCGTCCCCTGCCTTCTGACGTCATGAAGGTCACAGAATGGTAAGGCAGTCTATGCGTCTCGTGTAAAGGCTTATGCCATAGCCTTCTTTTAAGTCGTTGACTGCTCACCTCAAAACCCATATACCAAGGGAAAGAAAACACCATTTGCCAAAGACTGGGAGCATTCATACCTTGCTCTCATCATCATGGGCCTTAAATTGGCTCTAAGCGTGAGGCAAAGCTGAAGCAAGCTTATCCTCTCATCCACACAGCCGGCCAAAGGAGGGGGCATTGTTTTTTTTCAAACAGTCTCTGAGACCACAACTCAAAAAGCCCTTTTAGATAAGTTTCCATATGCCCTTGGCCAGAAGGAAAGAAACCACACCATTTAGATATTTTCCCCTTAAAATCTAGTTAGATTTGATTTCAGAAAATTTATATTTTGTTTTTTGAAAACAAACTTAATTTGGCCCGCACACTAAGTCTGTGTCTTCATGCACAAGTGAGGCATAAATCTGGTCAGACGCTCTGAGCTCTGAGTCACTTCTCTCTCCCTTCCACTCCTTTTAACCTGCAGGCCACACTTAATATCACCCAGAATTCTGTGTCTGTGGGACTAGGTCTACATCAGCAGGAGCTTACAACCTCCAGCTTTATGACTTCAAATCTTAGGCTGCTAATCCCACTGTGTGCAGACTTGACTGCCCACACCCTCCAGTGCTTTGGGACACACTGTGGGAGAGCCCTGTGTGCTCTCTGCTAGCTTGTACTTTGTTGTAAAATGAACCCACGTTGTCTGCAGACTTCACCAAATCATCCTGCTGGTTCAAGGAAACAACAATTCACTACTACTAAGTTGAATTTTTCCTCTCCAGAGGCTTCTATGATCCCTACAAGTGTGTATGCCTTCATTTCCCTTGAACTGCCATGTCTGCATCGCCTCTCTTCTTCTCCAGCTCATACATTGCCTACAATAACCACAAGAACAATCCCTGCCTTACTAATTAGAAGGGCTTTTCTTCATGAGTTTATAAACAGACATCTTGGACTAGTTAAAAATAATTATGTCTGCTAATTTAGATAATTCTTGTACCACTGAAAATCTGAGATCTCACATAACATTTTGCAGTTTACTGTAAGTGATGCACACACACACACATACACACACACGCACACACACACACACGGTAGGCATATAGAGCCCTGATTTTCCAAAGATAAATGAAGAAATCCCAGTGGAAACTCACAGTAGCTGGCACGCCATCCAGTTGTCTCGCCCCGTGATTGGACACCAAGATCCCGTCCACACCATGCTTCACAGCTTCTCTAGCATCGTCGCCTGGAAAGAACAAAGCATCATCCCATGGAAACTGGACCAAAGGCTTGGACTTCCAAACTCCAGCATCCCTGTAGAGGGAGGAGGGCCTCACTCCTTCCCGTCTTCCTTAGTGCTTTCATTAAAACACACCAGTCATTACATTTAAAATATTAGGGGTAGCATCTCCTTCTAAAATTAACAGGTGAAACAATTAATTTAATATGTGATAAAACTATGAGGACATAGTAAATTGTCATAAAGAGTTTATCTTTGTGAAGACTTGCTAACATTATGTATTCTATAATGTTTTATTAGTCATTTGGGAATTTCATACAATGTATTTGGTTATATTAACCCCCTTCCACTAACTCCTCCTAGATTCTTCCTCACTTCCCTACCTGCCGACCTCTTCATTTCTCTCTCCCTCCTCACCCCCTCTCTAATCCAGTTCAGTCTGTGTTAGCTGACCATTTACTGAGCATGGGACCTGCCCTGGAGTGTGGTCAATATATCAGGTATCACATCATTAAAGAAAACTGACTTTCTCTGCTACTTATATTTTTTAAGACTTATTTGTTTGTTTGTTGTTATATGTGTGTGCTTGCATGGGCTTATATGCAGCACATGAATTTGGGTGCCCAGGGAGGTCAGAAGAGAGTGTCGTTTACTCTCCTGGAACTGGTACTGAGGTTACAGGTCTGAACTCAAGTCCTTTGTAATAGCAGTAAGCTCTGAGCCGTCTCTACAGTCCATATTAGCTATTTTTAATTAATAAAATCATATCAGTTTTACCACTTAGCAAAAGTATCACCTTACAATATGGAAAATAAAATAGCATGTATGTGACAAGCATTATCATAGCAGCCACCAATCAACAAATCTATTCCAAACAGTATTTAATACAATTTAATACACAACTGAAAATTCAGTAACTGTTTTGCTGTTTGTTATATAATTGAATTTTGTGCAATGGAATGCATTATAAATATGATGTTAAAACTATAACTTATTAATTGTGCTTCAATGATATTGATTTCTGAAAACCCGGCTTAAAAGAGAATAATATTTTTAAGCAGCAAACATAATTTTAAATTTTATTTTCTAAACTATTACTTATAGGATGCTCCCATTTTGTTAGTTCTTAAATGTAATAGTAAGTAAAACCAATTTGCTTGGTTTTGTCCTGAATATCTGACTTTTGAGAGTTAAGCAAGTAAATTCAGAAAATGAACATATGTACCAATTCAGCAATGGGGTTAAAAGGATGTCTTGATTAAGAAAAATTATAAAAGATGCACAATCATTTGTAATTCTGATTGTTTTAATTTTTGTTTGCTACACAGATTTCCACTACATGCCATGTAATACTAAAATCAAATATTTTAATAATGATAATAATACTATTCTTTTAAAATATGGGTATATATTGATGTTATACCTATGTCTAATGGTCTCGGTACCTCTTTCCTTGCCAAGTTCTTTTGAAACCTTATTACCTGATGTGATAATATTTGGAGACAGAATCTCTGACAGGTAATTAAGACTGGATACATTCATGAAAGTGAGGTTCAAAAAGGAGATTATTTTCCCTTATAAGAAGAAGTGTCATGAAACTCTGACTTCTTGTCTCTTTGCAGAAAGAGATGAGGTGAGCTCTGACCAGAAACCATCTATGCTGAACCCTGACTCTCTCCTGTGGACCTGTAAGAAAAAATTCTACTGCATATAGTATTTTGTTGAACGTAACAGTATTACCATTGTAACTGTCATTACTACCAGTGGGTATCTGAGACTCTGACTTAGAAACTGCTATGAGAATCCATCTTTTCCAAGCCTGAAATCAAGGAAAACAATCATGTCCAAATAACAAGTGGGAGCCCTAAAAGCTATGCAGATGAGCTAGCTTTGTTTGAAAATAAGAAGCCTCAGCTGAGAAAATAACTCCTCCAGCTAGGACTGTGGGCAAGCCTGTCAAACATTTTTTTGAATGATGATCGATGTTGGAGTTCCAGTCCTTTTGTGGGTGATGCTACCCGTGGACAGGTGGTCCTGGGGTATATAAGAAAGCAGGATAAGAAAGCCATGGGGAACGAGCCACTAAGAAGCCTTCCTCCATGACCCTGCTTCAGCTCCTGCCTCCAGGTTCCTGCCTTGTCTTCCCTTCATGATGGACTGTGACGTGGAGTTGGAAGCTGAAATGAACACTTTCCTCCCTACGGTACTTTTAATATTTTACCACAGTGGTAGAAACTCTAATGTGTGTGTGTGTGTGTGTGTGTGTGTGTGTGTGTGTGTGTGTGTAGACTTATTAATTAAACAAAAAGAGGTTATGAGTTTGAAAAGAGCATCACAGGGTGTTTGAGGGAGGCGAGTAAAGGGAGAAATGACACAAAAACAGTATATACATATGAAGTAAAAATAGAAGAATTACTTGTCTATATTTTTTAAACAATAAAACAAAATTAACATGCCTAAGCTTTGATTGACGGCCCCAAATACATTTTAAAAAGAGAAATTGTTTATTTTCTTTTCAAATGAGTGACTGGTTTAAACTTATTCTTTCGGTGAATTTAAGTTTGACATTACTGGTGAGTCATCTCAATATTACTGGAGTATTACTTACTATGACAGATTATTGGCAGCAATGAAAACTGTCAATCTTCTGGATAGAAAAATGACAGCACTGCATCTGTTCATAATTTAATTGTTTTTTTCTTTAAAGAAATTGTGGAGGGAGAAGGATTTCAAGATGGCTTCCCAACACGTTGGTCATTTCCCATTCCATCACCCGCCATTCTTCCTTTGCATTCTGTTGTTGCTTCCTACTTGGACGTCCGTGCTTTGGTACATTATTTGACTTTCCTAGAATTTTAATTGTCTTTCTTTTGTCTCAGTTACTATGAGACTTTGTTATAGCCTCAAATCTTTCCATTTATTCTAGCTAACTCTTTTGAGTCCCCTATCTCCTCTCTTGAGTCTGTTGCCCAGAGACCTCTGTCTTCTTGTTCTGCAGTAGTTACTCTCTGGCCTCAATGCCTGCCTCCATTGTCTTGTTTTCTCTGCTTTGAATCTCTTACAAACAGATGGATATAAGCTCTCATTTGGTTTATGGTTTTGTTTGTAGTACACTCATGCATAGCTGCCCAAAGACAGATCAGTGAGAAGCAAACTGGCAGCCCTTGACTGATCCCTTTGTTTGCGTAATCACTGGATGAGCTGTAATACACTAAATTGAGCAATTGTTTCCCCCACAGAACCTTACAGACGTTTTCCTAATTTGCTGGAATCCATTGTTGATCTGAAGACAGCTGAGAGTCTGGCCTGGCCTGTAGTCCTTCGAAATGAATTCTTGCCTGGATTTTTCTCTCGTTATATACATTTTATTTTTCTGACATTTCATCTACGATAAGGTGTGATTTGTTGTCTTAGTCTAGTGATTATGTCACCAAAATTCATAGCTGTTCTAACCCTTTCTTCATTTCCTTTCTTTGTGTGTTTTCAAAACAAAATGTATATATGTCAGTTAGATATTTGTCATTTTAAAATCATCCATAAATCACTCATCTACTTGACTATAATCTTCTTTTGGTCCTGTTATTCATTGTTCTTTTATACTTGAGGATGTGTTACTGTGTTTACGTTCAATCACTCAGTTATTTCATTTTTACTTTTAGGTATCACATTTTTAGTATTCCATGCCTCTCTTTTATGTGCTACTTTTCCTCTTAAGCAACTCAGAAGTGAGGCTGGGCAAATAGCTCAACATATGAAGCACTTTGTCTTGTAAGACTGAGAATCAGAGTTCAAATCCCCAGGACTCATGTAAATGCCAGCTGGGCATAGTGACCCACCCTGAATTCCAGGAAGGGAGTAGACACAAGGCCTTCCCAGTAAGCTGCCTGGACTAGGTGGCGCTAAATGTCTATATGTATGGTTCAATAGAACTTTCTGTGATGAAGGAAATGCTCACACAGATAAGGCCATTAACTCTACAGGAAGTACAGCCAATCCAGAAAAGGGTACTGGTAATACTGGATATTTACCCTCAGAAGAATAAAATTAAATCCATATGCCCTGCCCTCACACAGAAAATAATTCAAAGAGAATGAAAGACCTTAATTTAAAACCAGAAACACTAAACTGCTACAAGCAAAAATAGAAAAACCATTTCAAAATAAAGGTACAGTGACACAGGGGAATCTTCCAGGCGTCTATGGGAAGGATCCCAGGTTAGACTCCCAGCAATGGTGGATAAATAGCCTGAACTGGCCATCTCCTGTGACGAGATTGGTGGCTAGCCCAATTGTTATCAGAGAAGTATCACCCAACAACTGATGGAGGCAGATGCAGAGACCCACAGCCAAACATTAGGCAGAGTTTGGGAATCCTGCAGAGAAGGAGGGGAAAGGAGCGTGGGAGCCAGAGGGTCAAGGACACCACCACCGGAAGGCTCACACAAGCAACTAGCCTGATCCCATAGGAGCTCACAGAGACTGAACCAACAACCAGGGAGTCTGCATGGGACTGACCTATGTACCCTGAATGTATGTTATAGTTGTGTAGCTTGGTCCTCTTGTGGGACTCCTAATAGCGGGAGTAGGGGTTGTCTCCAACTCTTTTACTGGCTTTTGGGACCTTACTTATACTGGGTCACCTTGCCCAACCTTAATAGATGGGGAGGTGCTTAGCCTTACTGCAACTTGATATTTGTTTGGTTTTTGTTTTTGTTTTTGGCGGGGGAGGAGCAGCAGGCTTCGAGACAGGGTTTCTCTGTAGCTTTGGAGCCTGTCCTGGAACTCATTCTGTAGACCAGACTGGCCTTGAACTCACAGAGATCCACATGCCTCTGCCTCCCGAGTTCTGGGATTAAATGCATGCACACCACAGCCCAGTTGATATGCCATGTTTTATTGATACTCATGAGAGACCTGCCCTTTCTTGGATGGAGACAGAAAAAGAAAAGATTGGAGTTTAGGAGGGGGGATGGAGCAGGGAGGCTGGGAGGCAGCAGCCAGGACGTAAAATAAATATATAAAAAATACTCTCTTCTGAATAAAATTAGTTTTTTATTAAAATTATTAGGAAATATTTACTTTCCTTATTATTATTTTTATTTTCGATCTCAGTTCCGAGACTTACTATAATGAACAATAAGACATTTCTGAAGCAGAGATGGTAAAAATGACGTAATTTGGGAAAACAAATGGTTATTTGTTTGACTATGGTTATTGAGATGACAAATGTTGTTTATCAAAAACAAAAAAAACAACAACAACAAAACAGATTAAGCCAGAAAGATTCTAGATAACCCAGAGCAATTTTAGTATTTTAGTATGTTACCCTGAAATAGAACTTTCCAGACAAGAACTACTACTCTACATGGCTTCTAGAAGGGCCATGGACTCAGACTCACAATGACTACTCCTCAAAATTAACACATGATTTTAATACTTCCTACTCTTTTGCAGCGAGAATAAGCCCCACTTACTAGATCAAAGAAACATAACTTGTCCAATATTATTCAATATTGCCTTCTATTGTTCCCAGTATGAATCTCTGTGCATTAGGACAGTTTACAATTACACTCTGTTCTGTGACTATAATATCTATAGTTTCTATAGATATAAATAAAATATATGTGCATATATATGTGTGCATACAATGATTTGGGGAACAGAACTTCAACTGCACAGGGAAAACCCAAGCGATTAGAATTAACAAATGAAACTCCATGAAAGTATAAGTTTCTATACCACAAATTAGGAAGACAACCCATAGAAAGGGAAAAAATATTTATCACCTATACTTTAAATAGCATGTTAGTATCTAGAATATATTTTTCAAAAAATTGTAAAGTTAAAGTACCATGAGCTGGATGGATTTCTCAGCAGTTGAGAGCATTTGTTGAGCCTCCAGAGGACCTGGGTTGGATTCTCATCACCCACTGACATCTGTCTATAACTCCACCCTATCTGACCCCTCTTCTGACCTCTGCAGGAACTACATGCATGTAGTACACGAGTGCACATGAACTCAAAACACCCATACACATAAAATAAAATTTTAGTTAAAAATAAATAATAATTTTTAAAGTACCACAAAAACAAAACTCCCAATTAAGATAGGCTAATGAATGAAAGAAACCTTTCTCAAACAAAAGACATGAACGGCTAATAAGTATTTTAAATTGTTCTAATCCTCTAGCCAACAGGGGAATGCAAATTAGAACTATTTGACAAGTCCAACCCACTCCAGTCAAAATGACTGTCATCAAGAAAACCGAGGACAACAGGTATGGAGAGGATGTAAAGAAAAAGAAACACTTATTCTCTGATGGGGCAGTGGAAACTAATGCAGACCCATGGAGAGAAAGTGTGGAGAGTTCTCAAAAAATAAAAACACAGCCAATGGAAGCACCAAGTGATGCAGTTAAGCCACTCATGGGCACATTCCCAAAGGGTTCTATATCCTAGCACACAGATACTTGCATACCCATGTTGATTTCTGCTGTATTCATGATAGTGGAGAAATGGGACCAGTCTAGCTGTCCATCAGTTCATAAATGGATAATGAAAATTTCATACACATATATGTACATATCATATATACATACATAATATATATTTATTTATATACACACAATGGAATTTTACTCAACTGTTGAGAAAAATTAAATTTTCAGGAAAATGGCTGCATCTTAAAATAAGTATTAATTAAGCAAGGTGACCTAGACTCAAAAAGACAGACAAGTGTGTTCTCTCTCAAATACAGAGGCTGGCTTCAGTGTTCATATATATTATGCATATGGGTATAGACCACAAATAAAAGGAAAGCATGGGAACATGGCAAGGAGGTGTTGAAGAAGAGAAGGAAAGAAATAGAACTTATACTATATAACCAGAAAGGAGGGAGATGGGCATAGAAGGGTAGGAAGGAGACTAAGGGGATGGGGGAGAGAATTAGGGAAGAAGACCAACCAAAAAAATGCCATAATGGAACCCAATATCTTGCATGCTAAAAAATTAGGGAAAAAAAGATTGAAATGTGGTCTTCTGGCTGAGCAACTGGAATTTTGTAGTAACATATAGTCACCTGTGACTGACAGATGCCACCACACTTCACACTGCAGTAACAGCGCTTATTTTTTCTTTTCTTTCAAATAAGGAGATATAATATGTTATTGTGTTAAAAGTCTAAATGTAGCCAAAAAATGTATTTGACATGCTATAGCTGTTTCTGGTTATCTAGCTATCAAACCAAAATGTGTTTTAAAAAAAAGTCATATTTTATTAGTCCAGAGCTGAGCATATGTGCAGACTCCCATTGTCTTCAAGTATCTCACCTGCCATGTTAGGAGTCATTTCCCTTCTGTGTCTCAATGTCCTAAAGCACCCAGTGAAGACAGTGATCCACATGACATAAGCTTGCGGAGGAAAGGAATCATTTGAGACTCATGTTGAACCCTCAGATAACATGAACTACTATTTAGGAGTCGAATGTTGAGACTTGTGTTGAACCCTCAGATAAACATAAACTGCTATTTTTTTTTCTATACAGTGACAAGGAATAGGTGCTACAGAGGTGAGCGGGGAGTGAAGGTTGGACAAGAGCCATGTCATTTGTTGAATGCATTGAAACAATAAGATCATACCCTCGCCATAATAAGATTAGAGAGGGTCTTCCATTTGAAGAAATTTGACTTTAAGAAAGTCTGTCATCTTGATCCTTCAGAGCAAGCCTCCACATTCTCTAGAGATTGTGGGGCTATTGGGCAAATGACCAAATAGTTTGCTCTGACTGGTTTACGGGTGTGTAAGACAGGAAGAAACATAATCAGATAAAGGGTTTCCTATTTGTTAATGGCTTGTGAAATCTGCTCATGATTCTGCATTTTACTTTTTAACTTAATTATTTATTTTATGAACCAAGACCAAAAGCTATTTAAAGGGTCAAAATGTTCCTGTTTGGCAAAATATTTACAAATCTTTGACATTTTCACTAATCCTCAGGGAACACAATGTGTCATTCCATAGTTGTGCTTTTGCCCTTACATGAGTTGAGTGTTTAAGACAATGGTGAGTAGGTAATATCACCGAGGGCTGCTGTCATGATCCTATCTTATATTCCTCATAATATTACCAAAGCCAAAGTCAAATCCATGAGAGTTAACCTCAAGCACTTGGGGCTACAGTGACTTGCATTGGTTTAAGAAATAAAGTATTTTAGATACATGTCAACACTTGGAAAGTAACCCAAGGATAATGAAATAATATACCTTAAGGACTTCTTAACCTAGTATTTGTAAAAAGAGCTAATGAGAAAAGGGTTTCTTCAAAACAAAAACTCATGAAGAAAGAGAAAAGAAAAGAAAAGAAAAAAACTCTGTGAAGTTTTGTGCCTTTGCTCATACATATTATTTGTTCGTTAGCGTGAGTCCCAGAGAAGACCAAATCCTGTCTGTAGCACACGTGTGGGGCTTTGTTAATGTTCTCCCAGGGCAGAGTTTAACCACAGTAACCGATTACATCTTGCATTCCAAATTGCATTCATTAAGATGCAATTTTTAAAATGGTTGTAAGGGTGGATGCCTCTTCTAGAGCTTCCCAGCTAGCCATGGTTTCACATTTCTGAAAACATAGTCTCTGCTCTTTAGTAAAAAAGAAAAGAAAGGAAATGTTGTCAGTCCGTCCATCTGACTTTTGGGTGAAAGCCTGTGAATCGATGAGAACTTGTTTTCCCAGATCTTCTTCAGTTCTTCCTCCAATCCAGCCTGAGCATAGGTGTTATTTGATACTGTTGTAGTCATAGAGATGATTTTTGTTTGATAAATAAGTGAAATAAACAGTTAAAGAAAAACTAGACAGGATAAACTTTACATGTATGAATAGCTTCCTTTCAAACATTGCTCTCCTGGTCTTGCTTTTTGAGCTGTCTCATTAGGTAGCCTCACTGAAAGCAATGAGCATTTTACCTAGAAAACACTTTATTTATTCTATGCAATAGTGTGAACGCCTGGAGAAATGGGCCAGATGATCCACATGTGTATAAAGGAAGGGAGTGATGCTGGGGGTAGAAGGGACAGTCTTAGGGAAAGTGATTGCAAACAGCAGACAGACATGAAGATGTATATACATACATGAATAATAAGAAATCTTTTGAAAAAAATTACTGGGAGCTGAAACATCTTTCAATTTGTAATACCACATTTTCCTGTCAATTACACTCTCTAAAATGCTACCATAACCATATCCAAAAATGAGCATGAAATCAGTGTACAGCAAAGGAGAGAAATGACAAACCTCTCAAGATGCCCTTTACAACAATAGGCAGCGATGTCAATCGTCTGAGCCATTTGATGTCATCCCAGCTGAGAGATGGGTCTATGGCTTGTGCCACATATTCAGCAAGTCCACTGTTGTCTCCATAATTCCTTTTAGGAGAAAATGCCAAATCATTGGTTTCAAAGTTCTTCATCCTAGAATAGATACATAAAATGGGTATTGGAGACAGCTTCTGTCTGACTTGGGGAAAATAAGTAGGGGTAAGGTGCTCCTTTTCTGATAAGTTGCTCGATCACTTAGGGATTGATTGTCTGCAAATTCTCTAGGGCTTGATGTGGGAGTGTGTTCTAACTGTGGCCATGTGATTCCAACTGGCCACCTAAAGCTTTATTTACGTGTGTGTGTGTGTTCATTCAGACAAATCAGTCTGAAGGATCAATGTGCGGCCATGTTCAAACATTTCCTGTTTAGGCCAGTTTACAGCTACAGACAATGGACTGGATGCTATTTTCAAGCAGCTGTACAAATTCATCATAATAGAAACCATTTGCATGGTGCTTTATTGTTTACAAAGGCCTTTTATATACTCATGTTTGTACATTTCTTTCCTTAAGATCTTTTAGAAGGTAACACTGATTCACTTTGAGTTCCCTTTTATGCAGACATAGTAACCCAAGTGCAGAATGAGATGGCCGAGAATAAAACTAGCTAGGGGCATTATTTGGGATCATATTTATAAGATATGTGGTACTGTAGGGAATTGATGGGAACCAGGAAGTGTTTCTCAGCACAGGAGTCTTGTCCTTCCCTCCTACACTCAGCTGTTGCCTGGTTACTGGCTCAACCTCTGATCTTCCAGAGAATCTTGACAAGAGCCTGGGCTTTCAGATGCTCACCAAGCACCATCTTTCTTTTTTTTTTTTTTTTCTGGCTGCTGGGCTTTCATTACACCCAGCAAACTGGAAGTGTGGGTAGACTCACTCTGAGATGTAGTGTTTCTGTGTTCCCAGAATTTGTGTTCCCAGAATGTCCCCACAGGATCCAGGATCAGGCACAGGATCAATTGCCCACTGTTTTATCTGTCTTCACAAAACTCCCCGTTTGCTGGCTTCCTCTCCTCCACTCACTTCCTTAGATGCCAACAGTCTTTACCTTCAGAAAGAGCAACTTAGACTTGGTCAGTGACTCCATTTTATTCCCAGGGAGCCACAGCCTAGACATGCCAACCTTGATCTGTTGCCTTTTCCTAGTCTAACACATTGGTCTAGTTTGACCAAGTAGTTCTCTAACTCATGACCCACTCTACTGCTAGATCACCCTATACTTGGTATCCTTTATCTTGACCTAACGTGGCATCTTGGCAGTATTTGGACAGTCTCCTAAGCTACAGACCAAGTTCATTCTGCTTGTGGTTCTGATCATGCCATATGGATCGTTGGCAATATGGATACGCAATGGCATCTACCATGTTGCTGAGCAGCCCACAGCCTGCAAAGTCACTTACAAAATAACCAGGTAAACGTCTTTTCTGGACTAGCTGGAACTCAGCTTGCTCTCCTACACACTAACAGACCAGCTAGCCGTTCTTCGTATGGGTGACAGCCCAGCTGTGTGTCTTCTGTAGATTAGTCCCAGCTGATTTGCCCTCCACCAGCTCTGCCAATGAACACGGAAGAGATCCTGAAGCTATAACTAAAACTGCATGTCGACAGATAGCAGTATCTAGGAGTTCTTTTTTTTAAATTTATTCTAGACCTTCTTTTCATATTCATCTGGTTGATAATTAGTTCACACTTTAGAGTGTTTCAGCTGAAATTTCTGCTGGAGTAGTTAGTGTGCACAGACCATGCCCTGGACATGGACTTTCAATTCCAAACAATACTACTCAAGCCACTGTATCCAAGGAAATTTTCTCAGTAGGACTGAACATCCTTCTGAAATTTTATGGATATAAAGGCATAAAACATCACAAACACACGATGCCCATCTAGTCGTTGGCTTTTGATGAAATACCCGAGCTTTCCATTTGTCAAAATTCTTAGGGTTATACAGTATGTCACAGCCCTGGGTCTTCTGTGGTCTTCTTAATTCAAATTGAATTAAGCTTTCTGTTCAATAAATGTGTTCTTGGGAGGGAAACTCAGTCCATTACTTCAATGATACTAAGTTTCAAACATAAATAATGTTGTTAAAGGAAAAGGTGCAATCTATCTGTTCCAGCCTAAGACCAGGAGAGAAAGGGAAACCATCTACACGTATCCCTGCCCCCACACCAAACAGGCCGCCGTGTTTCAGCAAGGGTGGGTGAAAGGGTGAAATGGATAGGAAAAAACAGAAACATGGATAAAATTATATAAATGACTGTTGTTATTCTTGGACCGCGCAATGCAGATCAACACTTGAATGAATGCTGCCTTACAGACATCTCAGGGCACAATGAAGCCTTGTTGTTGTTACTGTAAACTTTGTTCAAAGCCAGAAGCCAAGAAAAAGTTTTCAGATATCTTGACAGAGATCCACGATGGAGTGTTTTACCGATGGCTCTCAAAGAAACTGCCATGAATGCTATTTTTATTCACATTATGACGTGTGTGTGTGGGGGGGGGTGAGATCCTTAAAGTAGCTTCTGATATTCATTTTGTAAAGGATGAAAAAGACAACACAGAAATAGTAATGCAACTATTTAAAGCTTAATTTTCCCAACCCCAGGCTGATGAATGTCACAAAGAGACCAAACTTCTTCCTTGTAAGGGAATTGTTATTCCTGGGGTGACCTTTAATATAGTTTTTAATCTGACATAGGAATTGACTTTGATTTTAGTAAGTTAGTATCAAGCAGCAGTAATAACTACTAAAGTAAATAGGCTTAAATAACCAATAATATAACTAATAAGAGTGAGCATTGATGGTAATATATGATTTTATAAATATTACTAATGTAACACTAAGGATAAAGCCACATCTCTACACTGAAAACTTTCAAAATAAAGTAAAACAAGATAAAAATCAGCTAAGTTCACAAAACAATAAGAGTATGGATGGAGAGAAGGAGAAATTCACAATTTGCCTGAGCTGGGGACAGGCAGCCAGCCTTTCTTCTGTGGTTAGGAAAGCACGGTGCTCAGAACACACCCTAGTCACTTACTCCTCAGTGTGGCCAGGTGGTCTAAAGACAGACTGAGGCCACAAACTTGGAGCTCTAATCCAGTTCAACTCTTTCCTAGTTGTCTTATATTGGGGAAACCCCAATGCATCGATAAATTTTTAGACACTGATTAAACAGTTGCATGCTAAGCACCTACTATCTACCCCTGTTTTAGACATTTGACATTTAGTGAACACCAGTAAATAAGAGAGCAAACTATCTCCATCCATCACAGAGACGATCGACATGTAAACTGGCACGTGTTTTAGAATGTAGGTACAATGCAAAACGAAGGGGCACAATGGGACAGAGTGGGAAGCAAACCAGCTGGTGGAGGCTCGAGTTGACATCTGAAGTGTGGCAACAAGGGCAGATTTCATTGCAAAGCTACTGTAAAGATGAACTCAATAGGGATAAGTTTGACTTGTCATTGTTGTTATAACAAATGACCACAAATGCAGAGCTGCACAACGTCACAGATTTGTGGGCTAGAGATACGGCTTAGCTGTGAAAAGCACTGGCTGCTCTTGCAAGACTGAGTTTCTATTCTTGGCACCTACCTCCCAGTTCACAACCACCTAGTATCAAGGGACCCGAAGGCCTCTTCTGACCTCATTGGCACACCATGTATTACATTTGGTTACATGAGGTTACAAAATGGGGTTCTCACTGAGGTCAGCTCAGGGCGTCCAGTCCCTCTGACTACCTAAAGCAGAATAGACAACCTCACTTGTTCTCTCGGTGGGCAGCCCACTTGGACACATGATTCCAAACTCTCCTTTTATCACTTCGGCTCCTCTTCTGGCCGACATTTATGCCTTTTCCTAATAAAAACTCTTCGTTGCATATAACGTCTACTGTGATAAAACCAGGTCATCGCCTGTCTCAAGATCCTTAACTCAATCCCGTCTGGTTTGAGGGTTCAGGAGCAGATACCTTCGGCCTCTGTATACATTTCTAACAAGGACTGGCTTTTGTCACTTTTCTTTAAACTTTCTGGAACTGTGGGGGAAGGGGGACCACAAGTCTTAACTCAGGTAAATTAATCATCTCCGTGGAGCTCAGACAAGACAGAAGGCCCCTGCCTCACAGGCTCTGGAATCTGCGTAATCAACTGGCTTTGAGCCTGCTTCTTCCAGAGTGGAGGATTTCCCTTTTCCCTCTCACTTTCTTGCCAGTTGTAAAGTGCGCACACGCGTATGTTTTGCATATAGAGCAAGTGGCCATTACCAACCCTCTGAACTCTCTCTGCTCCCGGGTGCCAAGAGTCAGGGCCCTCCCCTCCACCCCGGGCAGAGGAAGTAGCAAAGGCTGGAAGGAGCCAGGCTTAGCGACTCATTCTCCCCTGGATTTCCTGTCTCCTTCCCTTGCCAAACCTCACTTCTGAAAAGCAGGCTTCACCTTCTCTGAGTCAGGTCAGTGCAAAAAGAAACTGATTTCATATCGGACTGTTAACCGATGAGTTTTGGGGTGGAGGGTGGTGAATGAAGCCTCCAGCAGAAGGCTTGACCTCCGGTTTGTGTGTTCTGTCTTTCAAACAGTATGCGCCCCTGAGGCGCTTAGCAGAAGCCCCCATGCTGCCCCGCTGCCCCCAGGACAAGCCCCACCAGTGTACAGCCTCAGGTGGAGTGTGCCCAGCTGCAGGATGTTTCCGGGTTCCCTGTAACCTGGATGTGTTGCTCGTGATTTGATCATCTTCAGAACAGAGCTGTGACAAGCTGGAAACCCAAGGCCACTCCTGTGAACACCAGCAGCTGAAAGAGGTCTTTGTTTCACGGCTACCACATCATCTGGGCAGACGTCCAGGGGCAAAGGAAAAGGGGGGAGGGGAAGGGCCTGTGGCTCATCATGCAGCCACCTCCGTGCTGAGAAGCGAGGGGTCCCAGCCGGGATACACAAAAGTGTCCTGCCCACAAGACTAGATATCCACACATTTGCTACCCAGAGCAAGAAGCACAATGTTAACTCCGTGATTCTATTACCGGCGCTGTTGTTAAGAGAATGCCATTAGGGAAAAAGGAAAAAGGCCATTCCTTCACAAACAACCAATGGAAATAAAGAGTGTTTCCTTTAGGAAACTGTAACAGTGTGAAACTAATTATTTGAGAATGTCTAAAAAAAAAAAAACAAAAGTAAGTAGGCAGTCAAATAAAGAAAGTGAATGGAGATTGCATTTTAGAGAGGTTCGAGGTTTGCTTTCTGGTGAATCTGGCAGCGTTAGGGTTAGGTCAACTGCTGCGGTTTTTATTCTCTTCACCTTATGTGGTACCTGGGTAGCCTGCCGACTGAGTCCACATGCAGAAATAATATCCCCAAACCTGTCTGGGAGTGACGAGCATTCCCATTAATTATATCACCGGTTGATACACAACAGTCTGTAAAGTCTCATTGTGAAGTCTCGGGTGTATTGGTGGCTGTGTGAAATGACAATTTGATAATCTTCCACAAAACTGTCTATAATGCGTACAAAGTTGCACTTCTGATCATCTGTTTCTCCCTATGAGGAAACCTGACATGAGCTTTGCATCTGTTCATTTTTAATCCTTTCAGAAGGTAGGCATGGGATGCTTTATCTTTATTCCTTTACCTTTTCCATCTTTAAAACCTTAGTTGTTTCAAAGACAAACAAAATGTAGACAGAATGAGCAGGGGCTGCTGTAGAACAAGCCCTAGACTTCTTATAAGGCATCCGTAGACATCCAACATTAAATGTCACCCATTAAGACAAGAGTTTGATGTCTGCTCAGATATGTATAATCCCAAGAGATGTCACACACCTGTCACAATGGATATGAAAAGTATAAGAGGCCCTGTTAGCATGAAATATGGAAGGAGAAAGCAGTGAGGGAAGACACGGATTGCTGAACAAACCTGGAGTCCTTTCTCACTGAGGTCCTGGCTTTTACTCAAGCTGCTCCTACTCCTAAAAATGCTATAAGGGAAGGGATGATTAAATATTACTCATAGGTTGAGTGTCTCAATGAAATCATTATAGTTCAGCTTTGGATCATGTGATACACAGTCTTTGCTGGCTTGATGAGTGAGTGAGGAACAAATCTTGATCCATGGATGAACCACATGCACACAAAAGGAAGTAGAAGATGATGGATCAAATACATGGCTTCCTTTTTCTCCATGTTTTTGTGCCTTATTTTTATATATTCCTAGATCACTTTCCTCCTAATACAACTGAAATTAAAATATGAATGTGGGTCTTTGATTTCCATGAAGAAACAGGGTACCAGGATCACAATAAAAAACTGTAGCCTATACAAAACTCACCTGGATGTCCTCTCATACAGCCCACAGCCCTAATGCATCCTAGTAATAAAATATTTTTAATTTTACAAATATACAGTAATCCCTCCCATTGTAACAGCTCAAATGTGTCACATCCCCAGGCAGTGTCACTTGGGAGAGACTATACATCTGTGGTAATGACTAGCTCCAGAACAGAGATCCTTTTAACAATGTTCTAAAGCTAATGCCTCTATAGCGATTCACATCTCTGGTATCTACTTGTAAACTACAAAAAGAAAAAGCAGCTTTTGGAGGTGGTCCATGAAAGGGAAAAAGAAACCCCACTCTGAGACTGTGAGATCAGACTTACCTGAGTTGTGGCGGCAGCTTGAATCTGTTACGCACATCATCGAAGCGGTTGCCCAGGTAAGGGGTGTCCACAGTCACAAATATTGCCTTGTAACCCATCTGCTCAGCTCGCTTCACTAGCTGGCTGCTGACCTCACGGTCTTTGTAGATGTATAGCTGCATCCAACGAAGTGCCTCGGGGCCAGCCTCTGCCACTTCTTCTATTGAGGAGGTGGCCCAGGAACTCAGCATCATGCCTGTTCCCATGGTCTGACAGGCTGGAATAGAAAGGAGAAAAATCAATGTAGACATGGCACCATTCCTTCTCCTAGACCAGGGTTTCGTTCAAAAGGGAAAGACCTCTGCAAATGCAACCTGTCAGCGTGAACGCAAATCCTTAAAAATAAATAAATAAATAAAGCATGCATTGATTTTCACTCTGTGTTATCGTATATTGTGAAGAAGGATAAGTAGATAACAAAGAATTGCTGCAACTGCAGGTGGAAGTAATGAGATCAACCTGAATGACCATCTTGAGGAACTGGTTATACTGCATGCAGTTAGTATATGAAATGAAACCATTGGGCATAGCACTGCTGTGAAGGTTCATTTTATGTGTCAGCTATCTAGGCCTTGGTGCCCAGATACTTGGTCAAACAAATCTGGATGTTACCATGAAGGTACTTTTCGATGAAATTAGCATTTGAAGTAGTAGTAGAACTGAGTAAAGCAGATTGCCTACTGTTGTATGGCTTCATCTGATCTATTGACGTCTTAAAATATGACCGATCTCTCCCAAGAAAGCAAAGGAAATAATCCCAGCTGACTGCCTTTAAACTTGACATTAATATCACCTTTCACCGGGTCTCCAGACTACTGACTAGTCTGGAGATCTGGGGTTTTAGTGTCTCCATAATTATGTAACCCAAGTGTTAAAAATGAGACTCTCATAAACACAGATGGAGATAGATAGATAGATAGATAGATAGATAGATAGATAGATAGGATAGTGATATCAGATATCTAGATTTCTATACTGCAGGATAGATCTTATTGATCCCATCTCTCTGGAGAACTCCAGCTGTTTTAATTATAAAATATTTACTGACATACAAATACAATGAAGATAAATAGGTATATTAAAGTGAAAAGTTCAAAAAATAACATGTATGCTATGATTCCACACTTCTTGAAATTATAGCTCATCCAAGCAAACTAAACATTAAGGAGCAATAAAACCATGGGTGAGTTCATGTTTTCCTTCCTTTCTATATTTCTAAATTTCTTTTTAAAAGCATTTACTAAGACACATTCTCCCCTTGTATAAATGTGTGATCTAGATATCAAGAGCAAAGTCATCCCTTTGATCACAGTAACAGTGAATGAGAAAATTGTCTTAGAAGATGTTAAAGGACATTGATGATGGGATTTCCTCCCTAATAGGAAATACGGTAAGTGAGTTCAGTGGAGGGGAGGCTGATTTGCTGTTTGCATGCTATACGGGAAGTTCCAAGAAATAAAGCATAAATACCCAATGCGGGTTACAGAATCCCAAATCACTCATAACATCTGAGTGGTCACCTTGTGTCAAATGACAGTGAATGCACTTGCCCAGGTGACACTCGTAGGATGATGACGGGAATCAAGTAAGATGGTGATTATGAAGTTTCTCTGAGGGTTTCAAGAGTTTCTATGCTCAAATTTTAGCCAACAACCAAATCTCCTGGAAAGCTTATAAAAGTGGGCCTCGTGGTCCCACCTACTATGTCTTATTATGTGGGTCTCCTTTTGCACCCCAAGGATTAAACTAGTCCATACAATACAACGCTGCTACCACCTATGCTGGACCACACTTAGACACTGAAATACTAGCATCAGCGGCTGATAGTAAAAGTCTAAGCTCAAATGCTTTTAAATGCATTTCATTTGAAGCCCTTCAAATCACTTCTCCAACATCCTTGATGGTGTCTTCATTCTGAACAAGAAACATGAGCTGAAGAGCATCATTTTTTTGGTACAGTGCTCACCCCAGGAGTTCAGTTGAGCATTTCTATAATGGGTTCTTGGGGCTGCAAATCACTGTCCATAAGAAACACATGTTACTAGGTAATAATACATCTGGATCCTTGTCTGATTTTCATTAATTTAGAAATGTGGAAACAGCACCAGGGGACAGTGAGCACTTGGGTCAGAATATTCTAACCATCACCTCACCACAAAGAGACGATGTCCTGAAGAAGATGTGGCCTGACTAACATCATAAAGGGCTGAGCAGCAAGGTAAGACAAAAACCCAGTTGGTTTGTTTGTATAGGACTGGTATCCATGAGAGTCTCTGGAAACCAAGCACAGATAAAGGTAACTCCTGACAAAGGGATGAGCAAAGAGGACATTCAGATAATCTGGAACTTTCGTGAACTTAGCAGTGCACACAGCCACAGCTCTGCTAATTGTAACACAGAAATCTTCAAAGACTTTCCTTAGGATGTAAGTATCAACAGGCATTCTACAGAGATTGTGACAATGTTCAAACCATTCACAAACCATATGAACACGAAAACTAATTTGCTCAGAATGTCAGCATTCTTAAACCCTTTCCCACAATCACTTGAGTCCAGATGTTCAGAGAGACCTTGGGCAGCCCATGCCTCCATTACTCCCACCTGTTCTGGAACTCATGTCTTCTAACTTCCTTTTTCCTCCAACATGGGGGCTCCAACCCAGGGCATGCTATTCACGAAGCTGCTACTGAGCAATGGCGCCAACCACCATGTTTATTTTTCATCAACTAAAATCATAGGGGCTTAAATTTGGAATTGAGGACTGTACATCCTATGTCACCATCGTTTCTGGTGGCAAGAGTTTGATAAATATCTGTGATTTAATGAGAGTCGCCTGGGAGCCGAGGGAGTATCAGAATCTGGACATCAGTGAAGCATCTGCTGAGGTGAAGCTTTCACAGCCAGGAGAAAGCATGGAGAAATCATAAGAAGTTCCCTGTTTCCTGAACAAATATGATTTATCATGCTGATTCTTAGTCACCTGTGATTGCTCGCTGTGTCCAGGGGAAATTACTAATGCATTATACCTGTTGGATTTTTTTCTTTTTTTGCCATCTGTTCTCATCTTAAACTAAAGGCATGCAAAATTTTACAAGGCCCATTTAGAAATAGAACTGAAAATGTGTCTATCCAAGTAAGAGCAGATCTAAGAAGGACCAGTCCATGCCAGTTTGATATTTATACAACAATGTACTGGTTTATATTACAGACCAAACATCATTGCACATGCCTGTTATTCAGCACTTGGGAAGCTGAGGCAGGGGCATTTCAGGTTTAAGACTAGTCTGGATTTTCTGTTACAACAGAGGAAGTTGAAGGGCAGCCTCAGCTGCACAGTATGCCCCAATCTCAAAAATGAAAACAAAAACTTCCATTCTAATAGACAAGTAATTATCGTTCTTCCCTTACTTTCCTTCAAATTTACTAGAATATTTTATCATGCCATCAGTTCCTCCCTTAACTAAGGGTTCCTTGCAGGATCCACACCTGTTACAGCAAAAGAGACCAGTGTTCTAAGCATCACTTTGAATGGGTTAAAGCCCATTGCTGTGCCGGATGCTAAGGATTTCATACATCACCTGCACCTGAGAGATAAAGAGAAACCCTTCCAGCTCACCATGCACATTGGAAATAAATATTACAGGTTTTAAAAGTTTCATGAGGACCTGAACGTGGTTCAAAGTTTTAGTCAGAGAAATCCTCTGATAACTTGCAAGCAAAGCTATGCTCATCTTTTCATTCCCAACCGGTTTTGAATCTCCCTGTGCAGTTAAAATCCATTACCTCCCACTCACAAAGGTAGGAACGGTCAGATTTCAGTCTACAAAGGATGGGCTTCGGCTTTCCTCTCTATTCCCAGATTTGTGGCTGCTCCCCACACAGCTGCAAGGTGACTGTATTTTCACACAGCCTGCAGAAAAGGGCTCTCAGCCAAGGCACTGTTGGTAAGAAAGCCCAGCACGGCTCTTTCCAGGGGTGAAGAAGATTCATGGTAGTCAGCACATCCTAAAGATAACATAACCAGAGCAAGTGAGATGGTTTAGTGGGCAAAACACTAGCCAGGAAAGCCTCATGTCCTGAGTTCCATCTCCAGAACCCACATAAAGGTAGAAGGAAAGAACCAACTCCATGAAGTCATCCTCTGACTTACGCACACACATACAAGTTGGCATGGGTGCACACACATATCACACACACACAAACACACTGATGATGATGATAATGATGATGATAATAATAATATAATAATAATAAATTTAAGACAATATGTCCAAAACACACTGCCAAGTAAGCATGAATCTCACATGACTTCTTAGAACTTGGTTTTCTTACTTTTACTGCCTCTTATCACCCTGAAGATATAACTTAAAGAACAGCCCTCTGCTGGGAGAAAGTTATTTGTTTCTTTGGTCTCACTGAACAGCCCAGCCTGACCTGAAATTTGGTATGTGTTTCGGGCTGACCTTGAACAAGAGACCCACTTGTCACTACCTCCTAAATGCTGGGTTTTCAGATATGTGGCACCATGCCCAGCTAAACTTTCATTTTAAAGGTTTATTCATTATTCTTACTTTATTCCATGACTATTTTTTGCATATGTATGTATGTATATCACAAGTGTGCCTGGTGCCCACAGAAGCCAGAAGAGGGTATCAGATCCCTGGAACTGAAGTTGCAGATAGTTGTGAGTTGCCATATGGTTGCTTAAGAATTGAACCCACAACGCCTTGGGCTCCTGGGAGCCACTCTAGGTTCAAGTCTCTTGCCAACCCTTAGGTGGCTCCCTTAACTAAGAATTGTGCTTCCATGCTCCCCTATCCAACCTTCCTTTTTTCCAATCACCCTGTTTCCCCAAGTTCCCCCCATCCTCCCCTTCTCACTTTTCTCTCCCCATCTCCCCTTACCCCCATTCCACCCTACCCCCAAGATCCCAATTTTCTCCTCCCCAGTTAGTTCCTTGGGCAGCTGAGGATAGGGAACCTGAAATGACCCTATCCTATAGCAATACTGATGAATATCTTGCATATCACCATAGAACCTTCATCTGGTGATGGATGGAGATAGAGACAGAGACCCACACTGGAGCACTGGACTGAGCTCCCAAGGTCCCAATGAGGAGCGGAAGGAGGGAGAAGATGAGCAAGGAAGTCAGGACCACGAGGGGTGCACCCACCCACTGAGACAGTGGAGCTGATCTATTGGGAGCTCACCAAGGCC